CCTGTGGTTCCTTTTGCAATAAGGAACTGGGAAGTTGAAAGACTAGTAATACATAACGCTACTACTAATAACGTTTTACATAGCAATTGTCATTAGTAGACATCAAAGGACTTTAAAAATAGGGTTAGTTTCTGCCTCATACCTCTCATCTCTTCATCTATAAAGAGCTAAACCTTATTAAGTGTTGAACAACTTCCAGTGCCTAAAAAAGAAGAGATTATCCCAATTTAAAAGCAAACAACACCAAAAACTAAAACAAAAAACTCCCCCCTGAAACCAAAAACCAAAAATAAATGTATAGCATCCAGTGAGGATCTTATTATGTAATTTAATTGCATTTTATTCTTAACTTATTTCTCTGCTAGCAGATATTTGTTATGTATGGTGCACAGCACTTCTATGAAAGGGTTGTTGCGTGTTTCAGATATAAACCTTGAATAATAGAAACTTATAATGAAATCAAAGTACATCTTTCCTTCTTGGTACAGGAGCTGTTAGCACCAATATATCATCAGGGCTTCTTAAAAACGAGTTAGTATGTATTAGTTAGGTCCTCTGTAAGCTAACTTTAAGCAAAAATAAAAAACATTGGCATTTTCAGAGTTAAGTTCTTATTTTAATTATAATAATCCTTCCTTCCTGCTTTTTAGGGAAAAAAGGAATTCCCATTAGCTACTTTTCATAGTGTACTATGTTCACTCAAACTGTTATTTATGGTGTCTGTCTGTCTGAGATAGCATTCTGGATAGCGTCCTAGCACTTCCACATTTTTTTAGGCTTGTGGTTAGTATGTAGGATGGCAGTTGTCTCGCATGCAAATATTCTATCAGAAATTATCATTAAGTCTTGTTGTTTCCAAATGACATAGAAAAATAAAATATGCTCTCCAGTTGCTAACTAAAAATAGTTTTCAGTAAACAACAACTAGACGATTTAAACAAACACGGGGTCAAGCATCATTCTCCATCACATTCTGTAAAGAGGAGTAAACAGAAACTATTAGCTTTAATTTGGGCCAGAAATTACAGAAGACTGGAGCATCCGTTAGAATGGAGCCTATGGCAATTGCGGTTAAAAAGTCATTGGCTGTCAGCTAGCGGTATTGGTTGTCAGCTAGAGATATCTGAGATTGCTGCAGTTACTTGGACAAGACCACAATTATGGGAAATATAAAGTAATGTTTGCCCAATCCTGACTTTGTTACGTTTTCCTATATGTAGCATGCTAATGTCCCCTGCTTTCCCTCCTAAAATCATCCCTGTGCCAGCAGGCATCCCTACAGCAACTACCAGCACTTGGTGTTTCAGATTATGAGGTTTTGAAGATATGGATAGTTTCTTTGGGCTCCAGGGAATTTCTGGATTGTACTGTAGAGAGAGAGATTTTCTTCTGCCTCAAAAGAAAGGTGATATGAAACTACAGATCAGGGATTGGAAGCAAAACATGGTCACTGAACCTGATCCGCTGCTGAAAGGAGTAGGATACTTGTAAGGGTGCAGACAGATCCATGCTTTTCACAAATGATCCTGTGACTACACTGCTGAGGTTGGGATTCTTCATGGGTTCTTAGGATCTGCCTGAATGCAAAAATCATATGCTCCTCTCCTCCTTGATTCTACACAGGAAGGTGATCATTTGCCAGGGACCTTGTGAGCTAAAATTTTGGCCCACACTGATTATTTTGCAAGTATTTAGCTCTGAATGTTGACTTGTGATGCATATATTGAGTTTCTAAAAAATTGGGTATTGATATCTAAAGAAACACAGTAGTAAGCATCTAGCTGAGCCAAGACCTTTCCAACTATGTGTTTTTTTTATGATGCATTTATAAACTCTGACTTTCAAGGTTTAATATTGCAGCTGTCTCCAGTCAATCACTGTGAGGATGAAGGCTGGCAGAAAAACAGATTAATAAAGGATTCTACCAAATACATTTTTTGTTGTGGAGGCTGTTATTGATTTGTGGAACTCAGACATGGGCACTTTTCACTGTTGGAGCTGTGGTCTCTCTTTTTCCAAATGTCTAATTCCAAGTGGAGCATTAGAACCCAACTCTATCCTGAGTGAAATCCATGGAAGATTAAAAAAAAATCTTCAATGAAAATACAATTTAGACTTTAAATGTTCATTCAAAATTTTGGAATTTTTTCAATGACAGTGGGTGCATTTACACAAGATGCTTTACTGCACAATACCATAGTTTACTATATAGTAAGTATGTGCATCTACATGTGC